TGGATAAGGGTGGATAACACTGGATAAGGGTGGATAACACTGGATAAGGGTGGATAACACTGGATAAGGGTGGATAACACTGGGTAAGGGTGCATAACACTGGTTAAGGGTGGATAACACTGGATAAAGGTGGATAACACTGGATAAGGGTGGATAACACTGGATAAGGGTGGACAACACTGTATAGATCTCTATCCGCTGGATAGCGCGGTGCGTTTTGTCAACTCTTATATACTGGATAGCGATTTAACCGTTCGATAGCGATATCCGCCCTTTGAACAGCTGGGCCCTGAAATTTAAAAGGAAACATGCTCATGGGAGAATTCTACTTGCGGTATTCCCAACGCCCGAGGGACATACCGTCTTCTTTTCCTGTGTTCGACGTATATCTCTGAAGTTCTTCTTTTGCAAATTTTTTTTAATCTTTCATGACCTTGCGCTAATATTTTTTATTTCATCGCCTCAGGTGATTTCAACTTTTGCATGATTTTTATATCAGTAAAATGTATTTTTGTAATTCCCCAACTTACAAATATAGGATGCTTTATCATCAAACTCACGGAGGCTGTAGGGAATTTTGAATCAAATTGTTTGGTTGTTTCGTTTTATTGCTGTTTTGTTATTACTTTTTTATTTTCAATTTTTTTTATCTTAGTACGTCTCATCAGCAGCACTCAGGTGGAAGTCAGTTTAAAGTTGAAGTGAGTGATGATGCTCATGCAGTTATTGGTGATAGTGGCATGATGAACGTGAACCTTGGGCAATCGAGGTAAAACATGTTTGTTGGCTACTGATACTGAAAAACTGCTTCAAGTATCTTGAAATCCGTCTGCATCGTTCAGGAGAACTCAGCGAGACTAAGATTCGCTTTTTCCTTTCATCCTTTTTGTTGGGACGCTGAAACAACGGAGAGATTGTAGCAAACAGACATATTCTTCCTTCTTTAGTTACGGTCCACAATTATCGACGAATACGTGAAAAGTGGCGTTATTGGACAATGTTTTGCTCTGAGTTTAACATCTCACTCATGAGTGCATTTTGGTGTTGTCTCTTTGTTCGTTGTTAAGGCCACTTACGTCATTACACGTGAACAGTGTATTACTTGATGATGACATTATGTTGACGTAGCTCTACTTAGAATGGGAACATTTGTAATTGGAATTTAGGGAGTTTTTTCATTTATTTATTCTATGTGAACCGAAAGATCTGGTTCTTCCTGATGTGTATGGAAAGTGGACGTCAACCACTTGCGATCGCCGGCATGCGGATTGTGATCTGCATGCAAAATGTGGTAGTCACATCTCAGGTGCATTTCACGAGTGGTTTGAATAAGTTTCATTTAGTTCAGAATCAGCTCTGTCAATTCTCAGAACTGACTCGTTTGAGGTAATAGAAATCTTACTTAGTAACTGGTTAGTGCTCTTTGCATTGTAGTGGGATCTTCTTGCAAAGTCCTTTAAGTATGTAGTACCTTCCCATGCCATTAGGCCATTATGTACATCTGAAATTAAAATTACTACTCTTTATATTTCTCCTAGAACTCCGAGCAATGCGGGAAGTAGGGATAGTTCGTTTAATTTTCCAGGAGATCAGGGAAATAGAGATCCTCATGAGCAATTTCCCCCCGAAACAGGGACACCTATGGAGAATTCAGATTCCCAAGGACCTGCTGAGGTATCCGCGGCGCTTCCTCCTTCGGAAGAACCTCCCGGGGAAGTAGTTCGCGGAGCTTTATTTCGTTCGTTTCAAGGGGAGCCGCCCTTAGGAGAAGGTGATAAATCGCTAGCTCAACCAATCCAAGAGGAATTCCCTTTGGAGAAAGATAGCGAGGGTTTAACCCATCCGGTAGAGGAGGATTCGCCCCCAGGGAAAGATGAGCATATAGTAGTTCAAGAGGAACAATCGCAGGCTAAACCAGTCCAAGAGGAGTCCCCAGGTGATAAAGATAGCGGCACTTTATCCTTTCCAGTCCAAGACGATTCTCCCCCAGGGAAAGTTCATCAAACGTTACATCAACTGGTGCAAGAGGAAGCTACGAGGGACGAAGATAGTGGAGCTTCTCCCCTTCCGGTCCAAGAAGATTCTCCACAAGGGAAATATCGTCAATTATTGGCTCAACCTGTTCAAGAGGAAGCTCCAAGAGATGAAGATAGAGTAGCTTTACCTATTCAGCTCCAAGGGGATTCTTCATGTATTGAAGGCGATAAATCATTACCTGGGCCAGTCCAGGAAGTATTTCACAGGGACGGATCATTGCCGTATCCAATTAAAGAGGAAGATTCCTCAAACACAGCTGATCTGCTTAAGACAAGCAAAGAAGGGGCCGCTACAACCAATCAATCTGTAAATTCTGCACCTTCCAAACCCGCCATGTTTAAACGCAATCCAGCAACGGGCCAAACGTGGCAGACAGATGTAGGAACTAATACTCCTAAAAAGGCAATTTCTCCGACTAGTTCTGTGGGTAAAAACCAAGATAACAGCATTTTAGAGAATGTAAGGGCACAGTCTAAAGAGGGGGTGTTTCCAGATGGAAATCACCGATCAGCTGACGGTGGTCCACTTCACCGTGTCCCTTTGAGCGGAGGATCCCATCTGTTTCATACGAGTCCTCGAAATCGCGAAGCGCCCCACAGGACAGAGCGTCACTCAAGAGACAATCCTGATATGGGGAGGTCTCAGACTGCAGCGATCGACATGGGAGATGTAGATTCTCATTCTGAAAGCGTTCAAGATGAAAACCCTGACGACGATAAGGGAGGTCCTGGAGTGTGTAACTGTAGATTCATGTAAATGTTTAAAACATTTAAATGTAAAGAGGTGACAACTATTTTGTAAAACTCTTTAACTCTTCATGAGTGCCCAAGACATCATGGGCCAAGGTTATTTGGACAAAGTACAATCCAAACCGCGGTTCTACGCAAGCATTGGGCCTCACTTATTCTCTTTAAGAAGGTTGTTTTTATTTAACCCTTTAAATCCCAGAAGTGATTACTCTGTAACTTCTCCTTATAATATCTATACATTATCTAGCAAACAGGTAATGAGAATACTCAAACTTATCAGGTAGAAGTTGTTGCTTTGATTGAACACCAAATTCTCCTGACCAGTTTACAAGGAAATGTACAGCAGCTAGAGGGGAGAATTGACAACCAGATCATGGGAGTTAAAGGGTTAACAAAAAAAAAACATCTTTCCACCGCTAGCTTTTGGTCCTCTTGACAGTGTTAACAAAAATACACCGTTTCAGTTGAAATATTTACTGCTAAATTCAAGACAGTTTAGAACGCTGTTTTGCTAAACAAAAGCTAACCTTTGTTTAAATAACCAGCCACATATCTCATTACAATATCGATACAATATCTTGAAGACCAATAATGACTATTGTCGGGAGAAATTTAATTTTAGTCTCGTTGAGGGAGTGAAAGCCGTAAAGCGCTGATCAGGGACGTAAAGTTTGGTTCTCGCAAAGTCATTCGTTCTTATTTTGTGAAGATTTTTTCACTCAAAGTTATTCGCAATCGATTTTTGATTTTGAGAATAGTTAGAAAAACAAACATTGTTGTCGTTTTTCTTCTATGAATACGTTTCATCCCTATGTCGATAAAAGAAAAATTTTAGAATTAGTCTTCACACGATTTCTCATGTTTTTGAAGGAAAATGCATACCAATGAAATTTTAAAAAATACTTTGTTCGTATAAAGAAAGCCATGTTACGAAAGTAGATTATTAGAGAAAGTTATTTATAAAACAAAATATGCACGCTTATATTTGACAATTTTTAAACCAAGAACTTTAAAGTTCTTGGTTGGAGTCAAGAAAATTATTAACCGTACTTCTCCGTTACGGAAAAGGTTTGAGATGGAAGAGAAACCAGAGAAAGGCTCTGATTTATTCGCGTAAATCCGTAATATGTTTGTTGAAAACTTGATACTGCATTCTTCTACAAATATTTTGCAACTATCGGTCAAGTTGATGCTCCTTATTGCTAGTCTCTTTCAGGTTTATTTGAACTAAAAGAGAACGAAAAAATGTTTTAAATACCGCTTTGTCAAGAGGCGAAGGCGAGAATTTTTGGAAGTAACGTGTTTATTTAAAGATAGATGCCAGAAGGTGTGAAAGTGAATTGTATACCGCCCCGCAGTTGGTGTGAGTGGTGGCTTCACCAATTACTGCTTTTGATGGTCTTATTTTTATTTATTTCGGTTCGGTAATTTTAAATTGAAACGATATCTTGGACATTGTCCATATTCGATAGGAAATTAGGAAACCCAATGCGCCAAGCGCGGGAAAACACGAGTAACAAATCAGAAGAAACGTACCAAACAAAGTCAAGAGCCCAAGGTGCTTTGCGCGGGAAATCATATGACATGACCAATTCGATATTCATTACATGTTTTAATTTCCTCTGATTGGTTGCTCCTAAATTTGTCTTATAGTGATGTGTTATTCATCTTGTAAAACTGTGTATGGGAAGGCTTGCACAATAAAATAACGTTTCTAGACGTGTTTGTTAAATGGATACTTTTCGATAATGGTTCATATGAATAAAACAGTTGATCTTTTTATAATCTTTTTCATATTCAGTTATCGATTTGCTTTTTGAAAGAAGCTGCATTTTAATCAGTGTTATGTCGAATGGTTTATGCCGGCTAAGATATATTTTATAATAATACTCTATTATTGTAATAACACACCTGTTCCACTCAGCTGGAACTCATAAAGAATTTAACACTGACGCAAAGAATTAGGAAACTTTCGCTGCGCACAGGTAGAAATGAAACTTGATAGCAGTGTGATAAAGTTTTGTTTTGCCAAGAACGTCCTCGCTAAAGAGTTTTAACTTCATTTTCTACGTCATTTGTTCCATAAATCGGGGAAAATAAGCGCATTACTTTAGGGTATTAATTTATGGGTGGAAAACAGTCAATTACTGCCAAAATTGTCACTAAAATGCTGTTAAAGTAACGCCAACACGAACCAGAAACATGCATAAAATTGCATGTGAATTACAAACACTTGGTATCGCGTTTTTGTCAACAATATTGGAAGCTTTAACTGAGTTTTTGTTGACGGATTGTCAATTTAAACGTTTCAACGTTAGCAAGCAATGGGTTCAATTCCAAGTCGGACGTTTCAAAGCAACGACACCATTGTGTGTGGGACGACCTTCTCCAGTGAAAATGCAAACGTCAACAAACCAAAGAAGAAATTTGCTATACCGTATATACATATTGTGACGCCTTCTCGTCGGAGACGAGCGGCTTTCGTCAAAGATGTGAAGTCTTTAGATAACTTTGACAAAAACAAACTTTGGACACACTGGGCTCCACGAAGGTATTCGTGGCCAAATACAGAAATGGTTAAAAACAGGAAAGGAGGAGAATTTTCTAAAAAAAGTTGACATAGCAAATATAATTAGACACCTTGGGTTCTTCTGATGCTCGAATGGATGTCAACGTTGTACCAAACAATCGAAAATATTCACGTACACCTCAATCTACAAAATTGTCCTCAGGAAAAGGCCAAGACGGCAACGCATCTTGATAACGAATTCCGAAGAAGCAATGAATGGAATAAAGTCCTCACAGCTAGGCGAATCTATTCAGAAAATAGGACGAAATTTGCAAGACAGCCAGGCAGTCGAATAAACAACTTGTAACAAATTATTGCATCGCCATCCACGTTCGATGAGTATGGGCTTGCATGGGTAAACTCCATGTTTCAAGAGGACGTTCTGCTTGTACGCAATTATGGAAAATACCTTCTCGATTTCAGCGATATCTTGAAGTAAAACAAATTACATCGAAGTGAAGCGAACCACAACATTTCAAAAAATTTTTTTTCTATCAATTACAGTCAAAATGCGATAGTCGAAGAAAGCATTTATCTCTCTACAACAGACAAACCTACTTTGTCACAGCATTGCGCTGATACGGTGTACTGAAATGAAAAATAACTGCAAAATTTTTTGTTTAATTTGAGAGGAAAAAGACAGAGCAGAAAAGTAAATGAGGATTCAAATAGTCACTCGCTTTTTAAGAAGATATAATAAAGGTAATAACGAACATGAAATGAATAATTAATTCCGATTTAAATACCGTTCTAAAAAAAAAATCGCCGTATGTATACTTTGCTAATTCCAGTCGCGTGGAAGAATGAATAATTTGAATACGCATAAATTATCTTCCTGCACTGTCTATGCGTCAATTATCATTGAAATGTACTTTATGTAGACGACAACAGTTATGCTTGAAAATCATTACGAATCCTAATCCTAATACTATATGTCACCCATTAGTAAATTATAAATGCATGCATAACAAAATACGTTATGCATGTATTATCTGACTGTCATTTTGTATCAGAAGTATTTTCAGGAAAATCTTTTTCATTATTTTCGACACCCGAATTTGAAGAATCATTTCGTCGCCTTTTAAGTTCAACGGACAGCCTACGTCGCCAATTCAAAATGGCAGACTGAAGTTATGAAGGTAGATCCTGGACAATGTGTTGGATTCGTCGTTTCGTTACGCTGTTTCGTCGTTTCGTTATGTCGAGTCGTTGTTTTCTGAGTTCGACTCGTCAAACTTTCAGTTCGTTTCATCGTATTGTCAGTTCGATTCGTCGGCTGGCCTCTTCGACTCGTCGTTTTACGAGTCCGACTCGTCATCGACCACATCGGTTCGTCGTTTTGTCGTTCCGTCATTTCGTCATGGCGTTTCGTCGTTTCGTCGTTTCGACTTGTCCACTCAACAGGAGCTATAATTCAATTTACATTACATGAAGAGTTACATGAACATTAATGTGGTATCTATAATTTTCCCTCTGCCGAAAGAAATGGATCTTTAGAATAGCTACTTAATCTGCAGAAGCCTCCAAGTTATTTAGAACAACGTATTTTCAGCTAAAGTTAATGAATCACTTGGGCGAGCACCCCGGAGTAATTATCGCGGGAGTCTATCTTTTTGTCAAGGATAGGAGGGTCAAGGGTTTCTTGTTGAGGGTCGAGGGTAACTTTTTTCCCCTTTTCTAAATTCATTAGGAAAAATTAAACCCAATTTCTCAAAAATAATTGAAAGTAATTGAAGAAAAAAACTAATTTTTAAAGATACAGAGTGCAAGTGGACCCCTTTACTTTTACCCCAGAGTGCAAGGGAACCCTTTACTGTTCCTTAGTAAGGTCTAACCATGAATACTGCTCTGAGATATGGTCCCCATATTCGCGTAAGAACACTGATAAGCTTGAAGGAGTGCAGAGACGTGCCACGAAATTTATTTTGAAAACTAAGGGTAGCTATGCAGCTCGTCCTAAGAAGTTAAATCTATTATCTTTGGAAGACAGAAGAGTTTTTTAACTTTCTTTTTTAAGGCACTGAAAGGGTTTGTTGACATTGATGTTTCACCTTTTGTAGACCTTTTGTATTCCAGTTCCTTGAGACATTATGATCATCTGACGTTAAAAAAAATAAGCAAGGGCTAATTCCTTAAATATTCCTATTTCCATCAAATAGTAGTTTCTTACCATATGTTTCCTGTTGACATTCGCACTGCATATTGTACTGGGAATTTTAAATTTAATGTGAAAAAACTTCTTGTGGGTAAATCATGATTTTATTTGTCCTTATTATAACATAGTATCTCATTCGTACCACATGTATTGGGTGATCTGCTGTTACACGGGGTCTGGGACTCTTGCAGCTTCTCCCTATGGCTTTTTTTAATTTTTTTTTTTGGTTAATTAACTGTATCATACCCGCATTTGTGTATTTATGCCATTAAATTGCAATAAATAAAGTAAATAAATAAATAAATAAATAAATAAATAAGCCCTTTTCTGAGGTGGAAATCACCCCAAAAAGTAGCAAGTGGGGAAGGGGTGAAATAGTGAATAGGATGTGGCCAGTTTGTTTTCAAAAACCTGATTACTTTTCAAAGAATTTAATTAAGAACCCTCAGAAAGCTCATATCCGATGATAAATCTGGTTAAATTTCGTGTGTTACTGTAACATTATGGAGTGAAGGAACGTGAT